CTCTCGACAATATGCGTTTTTGCTGGCTGTAGCAGCGTTACAGCTAGCAAAAACGCTGCTATAGCGCTGCACAGCAAAAACGCATAAAAACTACTTGTAAGTACTAATTCAGCCACACTTGCCCTTTCTGTTTGTTCTCACCCTTTTCATCACGCACACCTAACATTTCTTCCACCTAACTTTTCTTCCACGGTCTCAGGACACTTCTTAGAAAAAAAAAAAAACAATCAAAATTTCAGAAGCTTACACCGGTTTATCAACAGCCGAATTGTTATGTTCGCCATCTGAAGTGGACGATTCCATCTCCTCAATCTTATACCGGAGCATATCGTTCTCCTTTGACATCGATTCTGACATCACTGCTTGCACTCGTGCGGAACGTTGCAGCTCCTCAAACTTGGATGTGAGCACCCTAGAAAACAATCAGTTCAAATTACAGCATCGAAGGCTACACTCCGCCACTCAAACATCAGTCCCTCTACGGTAATTGATGCATTCCAGGGAGTCTAAATCAGTCTACTTCTAAATCGTCCACGGGAGAGGGGAAAGCTTACGAGAGAGTAACCACTGTTGCGAAGCGCTACCGTTCTGAGTGAGTGAACACGGAAAAGTTTTGTCACTAATTTTTGATTTCCAAGATTAACACTCGCACTTTTCAAAATCACTCACTTTTCCGTACTGGTTTTTTGTTCCACTAGTGTTTTCAGTTCACGAACCCGATGCTGCAATGTACTTATCTCAATATCCTTCCGTGGAATTTCCTCGACCTTCAGCTGCAATGTGGCATTTTTTTGGCGCAGATTCTTGATTTCTGCTGATTTGATTTCCAGTGCCGCATTTAAACTGCTAATTTCCTTCGACAATTCCTGTAAAGTAACATATTTGAACTTGCAATCAGGCATCAGCAGTAGCGTGCCAGATCCAGCCAATTCAGGTACCTTATGACACCGCCTAGGTAAATTCTATATGCTGAAAATACTTCCAGCACCTTGTGCTGGCGAGTCCTAAAGCCCCAGTCGTTGATCTGCATCTGCTGCAGAAGCCTCTTTAAAAATTGTATTTCAAAAAAGCGATGAATTCGCTAAACAATCAAACTGTCGTGAGTCTGCACTGAAGCAATTTTCTTCGAAAATAGGACCACAAGTTATAGCAGTCAAATCAATCCCGAAAATCTCAAAAAAAGAGAATCAATTTCAAGATGCACCTCCACCTCACCATTCTGGTTTACCCACTGAACCACTTTCAAATAAATTCCGTCAGAGAGCTTCGAAGAAAGGAACAAGAAAGTTAACAGAAAAAGGCACCCCTGAAATTTCAAAAATCAAACGAGGAAACCCAACAAATTCTCGGATCTATAGATAGTGAAAATTCATTTCGGAAAAAGCTCTCACTCACCGCCACTTTTTCATTAGTATCTTTGCTCAGTGTCGCTTCCAAATTTTTCTTGTCTCGAATCAGTTCCACCACCGTTTTCTCCGCTTCCGCCAACTTACTGTCCAAATTCGCACATTGAATTTGATTGGACCGGCTGAGTCGCTCAATTTCGGCATCGTGAATACACCTCAGTTCATCCAGAGTACGAGCTATTTCATTCTTACATTCATCAAGCTGGAATGAAGTACAAAGACTAATGTTTTTACTGGCGACTACTGAGTGAGAAAGCTAAAACAGGAATAATTTTAGATACATACTGTCTAGCGCCTGTCCTACTACCCTAGTAAAGACAATATCCCGTAAACATTTCCGTCTTTTTTTAAGGCTATTTCGCTTGACGTGAAAATTCCACATTAGTCATGTTTGTAAATTCGCGCCTCCAGAGACTAGGCCGGAAATTCGCAAATATTCGTCGAAAAAGAACAGATTTTCATATGTTTAGACTAGTAAAATTAAACTTCGATTTCCAGTAAGTTGGACTTTACAAATTCCTTTTTTCCTTTAAAGCAGAAGATGAAAAATCAAGCAGAAGAAAAAACAACAGAGAACTTTAGCGGTTGGGATTCGAAAGGGATACAACAAACAGGCCATCAATTTTTCCTTTCTCTCGTGGTCACAGCGATTTCCCGTATGCCGCTCATTATGAAAAGAATGCATATATTTCGCATTCAAATTGATTGTTGGCATTTTTTGTTTCATTAACAGAAGTTCGCCCGTCTAAGTAGGCCAAATAACAGTACAAAACTGCAGTCTCGAAAAAGCACGATCGTATCAGCCCGTGGGGGGCGATCCGAAATGGGACGGATGCTGATCGTATCAGCGAGATAAAACATTTTCAATTTTAAGGCATAAATCTACATTTTGGCTCGTTACATAAAACCTCTTCTCTCTTTCTCTCGCTCGTAACATGACCGACCTAATTTTAAACAGCAGTAGCTATTACTACTACAGTAACAACAGCATTAATAACTCTACTACCACTACTTCTATTACCATCAATATTATTATTATGTTTATTTATTATTATCACGTTTTCTATTCTATAAATATAATGA